CCAATCTGGCTTTTTGACAGAAAAGAAAAGTGGTCAGAGTCGTCCCGGTGGGCAACAAAACAACACATACACACACCCAAATCCTTATTTATCACAACATCTTGACAATAGGCAGGTCTATGACTAACATTGTCATTTCTCCCCCCCTTCTCTGTGATTTTTTAACACATGAGCCTGCATGAGGTAGTGGTCTGAGCATTGACTATGACTCTGGAAACCAGGGTTCAATTCCCACCTCTGCCGTGAAATCTATTGGGTGACCTTGGGCAAGTCACATCCTCTCAGCCTCAGGGGAACGCAATGGCAAACCTCTGAGCAAATCTTGCCAAGAAGTCCCCATGCCTTTGGGTCAGCATATGTCAGAAATGACTTGAAGGCACACAACAATAATAATTTTTAACATATTTTGCCTGATCATGAAGCCAGTAGAGCTTTGAAAGCTTGCAACAAGTATATTGTGCATTTTAGTTGTCCCAATATAAGTACCAGAGTTTTGTGGATTTGGGATGTTATTGTATTTTGCTATATGGCCAACACAGCTACTACCGCTGGATAGTTTTTTTTGTATATTTTATATTTTCTGTATATTTTATATATTCTCTGGCCTGAAAAAGGTCATCAGGGACCAGAAAAGTGGAGCTGAAAAGGCATTTGAGACCGATTGGAGGACACTAAACAGCAAATATTGTTTCTGCAGGCTTTTAAAATTATTTTTTTCACTCTTTGACCTGAAAAAGTCCATGATGGACCAGAAGAGTGGAGTTGAAAAAGCGTTCGAAATCGACTGAAACAACCAATCTTTTATGTTCCTATGGCCTTTTTTATGATTACTTTATTTATTTTTCTACTTTGGGGGCTGAAAAAAGCCGCGAGGGACCAGAAACGAGAGGGACCAGAGCTGAAGAGGCGCTGACAAAATGGCGCCGGCGAAGCCCGGCTCACCTCAGCCGACCCGCCGTTTTTTCCACAGCTCCCCTCCCCACTTTAGCCCCATTGCATGATGGTTAAATAGCCTGGCCCTGGAACCCGCCATTTTCTGTTGGGGCTGGCGGGAAAAGCGGAAAGCGAGTGAACAGCAGCCTGAGCGCCGTCGCGGGACGACCAACGGTCGCTGAACTGCGAGGCAGACCCCTCAGGTAACAGAAGGCGACGAGGCGCCGACCCCTCTTCCCACCCGTTTCCCTTTCTTTATTTCCATTTTGGGGGGGAAAGAACTAAAAGAGAAAAAGGGGGTGACAAGAAACTGAGGTCGTCTGAGGAGATGCATCGCCCCCCCCCACTAGCTCCTATCCGGCCAGTCCCGCCTTCCGTCTGCATCCCGCCTGTGATTGGCTGTCAAACGGAGGATTACGGCGGCCTCCTTGATAGGTTGGAGCCGCCGAAGCAACTCGGACGGGGATTGGTTGGGATGTGGTGTCAATCATCCGAGCGGAGTTTTTGCTGCCCCTCCCTTTTTCGCTCTGCTGGGTTATAAACCAATAATTAGCCGACCGCGCGTAGGCCAGTCGGGAGGAGGGAGGGGCTACTACATTGGAGAGGCATTAGAGGCTGTTTTTTCCCCTGCGCCACGTGATGCCTGTTTACCAATCAGAGGCCACCTCCTCCGCAAAGGCTCCTGGGGCTTGTAGTTTTGTTGCTGGGATTCACGAAAAGTAATCCCAGGTGTCCTCCTCTCAGCCAGGTCTCATAAATTTCTGCTCCCGGCGGTCATAATTTCTTTCTGTCGAGTAAGATATAAACTTTAGGGGCAGTCTTTTGCTCAGTTTCGCGCTCACGGTCCCAAGCTCAACCTATTGGATGCTATAAATAGTTGTGGGATGGGAAAAGTGGGGGAGGCCTGTCATGTTGCCATGGCAACGGGCTTTTCTTCTATCCAGAACTGTGGAGATTTGAGGACTGGGGAAATAATAATAATAATAATAATAATAATAATAATAATAATAATAATAATAATATATTTCAGTTCATAAATTGATCTTTTATTTTTGTTATTGTTTTACAGATTTACACGCTTACTGAAATCATATAAGAATTCTTATTGCAAATATAAAATTCTTAGTTCCTTAAGTCATTTCAACATTGTTACATGAAATATCCAAAATTAATTTCTCACCACACTTCCCATGTTCTCCTGACATTAAGGCCCTTCTGTTTCATCAAGATATTTACCCTTTAAATTCCAAAAAAGAAGATTCCCTCAACTCTAATTTTAAAGTTTCAAATCTCTTACTCTTATTTCTACCTTTTATCCTTTCTTTTCCTCAAGTACTTGCTTTGTTACTGCCATCTTTTTTTGCAAAATTTGTTACAGGAAACCATTCTTCCTCTTATTTTTTTTTTAATATATCTTTCTGATTTGGCCAAGAGATTAATCTTTCCAAGTCTTTCATATCAAACAATTTCATAAGCCAGTCATCTGTTGTTGGCAAATCCTGTTTCTTCCATATTTGAGCTACCATTACTCTAGCTGCTGAAAATAAATAAATTGAGCTTTTCATATTATCTCTTCATCTATTGACTTCCAGCCATTTAGAGCCAAAGGCACACAATACACAAAACAAAACACATACTGTGAAGTCAGCTTGCCTTAGCCATATCAGTCTTCTTAGATATCAATTAGTATATATTAATTTTGATTTATTAAAAGAAAGATAGCAAGTTCCTTTCTGGAATTCTGAAAGAGGCCAACCGGGTGTGTCCTCCTTTTTTCCAGGACCTGTCCTACATTTCAGCCTTCTGTCCAAGAATTCCAAAATGCCTTCCATCTTGCGAAGCTAAGAAGCTTGAACTTACCATTATATGAGTGTTTCAAGCTTTTCTTTAGTTGTATCCTGCATTTTTCCTGGAATGTCCTACATTTTGCAGTGTCTTGTCCTCCTTTGCGGTGAGGACATCTGGTCAGCCTGTTTTGAAATAACCATCAGCCCTCAGCATCTGTGGATTTTTATCCATGGATTCAACTATCTGCAGCTTCAAAATATTCCAAAAAAATATAAATTCCAATAAGCAGACCTTTATTTTTCCATTTAAATAATGGACACCATTTTAATAGGACTTGAGCATCCATGGATTTAGGTATGAGGAGAAGGCATACACTCCTAGCTATAGGCCTTGGAAAGTTATACCCACCCCTAAATCCATAATGAGACTGTATCCACCCTACAGAAATAAACCGCACTGCAGAAGTAATCCAGTTTGACACCACTTTAACTGCTATGGCTCAGTGCTATGGGTTCTTGGGATTTGTAGTTTGTTGTGGCACCAGAGCTCTTTGACAGAGAAAGCTAAATGTCTCACAGAAGTGCAATTCCCAGAGTTCCATAGCATGGAGCCATGGCAGTCAAAGTGGTGTCAAACTGGATTATTTCTGAAGTGTGTTTTGGACCTGAGAGGGGCATCCATACTGGTAAGAGCCATATTAAACAGGAGAGATTCTCATACTTGTATTGAATCCTGGTTTCCTAGGAAGAAGAAAGAGCACTGAACCTGCAGAGCAGATGCAGACTTTAAGAGTGGAAATAGGACGCAGAGCTGTCGACAGCATTTAGTTTTTCCTATAAATGGATCTCCTGCATTTTTCCTCCCTTGGCAGGTTTCCTACCTTCTAAGAAACTCCCAGGATGGCGCGTACTAAGCAGACTGCCCGTAAATCCACTGGAGGGAAAGCACCTCGAAAGCAGCTGGCCACTAAAGCAGCTCGAAAAAGTGCACCATCCACTGGGGGAGTGAAGAAACCTCATCGCTACAGGTATATGGACCTCACTCTTTCTGGTCGCTTGTTTTTGGTTGGCCTAATGAGGTGGTGAGGGTCTGTCACGGTGCTGGGGATTTGGGAAGGAGAGGCTACGAACCTATATAGACAGCCGGAAATAATCCAGCTTGAGGACACTTTAACTGTCCTGGAAATCATGGGAATTGTAGTTTTTTTCTGAGACATTGAGCCTTCTCTGTCAGAGAGCTCTGGTGCCACAATAAACTACAGTTCCCATGATTCCTTAGCACTGAGCCAGGAGAGTTAAAGTGGTCTCAAGATGGATTATTTCTGGCAGTCTGCGTAGTCCGTTTAGTTTAGTATGTAGGGAGATCTTTTGAGACTTAACTGAAATATAGAAATTGGAAGCATGAGCTTTTGTAGACCTCAGTCTACTTCCTTTTAGTTTAGTTTTGTGTAAACGTCCTCAGCAGCCTTTATTGTAAACATCCTCAACAGCCTTGACTTCTGAGCATTTTATTTGTTTATTGAGTTTTAACACTAACAATCTAATACAGAATCAAAATCAAAATGATATACACTCAGAAAATACATAGTAACAATAAAGCAGCATAGAGAAGAAAAAGAAAGAAGAGAAAGGAACAAAACCCAAATAACTAAAACACAGCAAGGCTCTAAACCCACCCATCCCAATCTTAAATGTAATGCAAAGAAAAATAAAAAATGGGGAAAATGTTATTCAGCCATTACAGATCCAATTAAATAATCCTACTAGAATTGTTAATAACCATTTGTTTGTTGCTGTGTGCCTTCAAGTAATTTCTGACTTACAGTGATGCTAAGGCAAGCCCATCATAACCACATATTATTACGTTGTTAGATTTCTTATTGCTCTGAAAGTCCATAAATGATTTCCTGTCTTTCAAAAAATTTTCAGTTGGCTTATCGGTTAAAACCCATATTAATTTGGTAGTTTGGACAAACTCAGCAACCTTTAATCATTGGTGTTTCCATCTGAGGAAGCTCAAAATCTATTGCTTGTGTCATTCCATTCAGGCCTGGAACCGTGGCACTGCGAGAGATCCGGCGGTACCAGAAATCTACAGAGTTGCTGATCCGCAAGTTGCCATTCCAGCGCCTGGTCCGTGAAATTGCTCAGGACTTTAAGACAGATCTGCGGTTCCAGAGTGCTGCCATTGGAGCCCTGCAGGTTTGTGTTTCTTTCCTGTTCCTTCTTTTGTCATTCATTTATTACAAGATTTGCCCAAGATCACCCAGTGAGTTCCCATGGCTGAGTAGGGATTTGAACCCTGGCCTCTGGAGTCATAGTCCAACATTGAAACCACTACACCATGCCTGCTGTTCTGCCTCTAATAAAATGTTGCCTCTTTTGATAAAGCTAAGTAATTGGCTTTTCAAGATAAGAACTGGTCAGCGCATAGCATCAGCTCCTCCTTGTGGGAGCAGTTGGCACTGCAAAGATGATACATCTAAATCTCCCCAGACTCTTTTGCGTGTTCCTATTTGATTGATTGATCAATGTATACCTCACTTTTCTCCCAATGTGGGATCCAAAGTAGTGTAGCCAACCGAAAGCAGGAAGGCTGTTCCCTTTTTCTGGATTCTAGAGCAGATGGAGGGGAGCAAAACATTGCATACTCCTTCAGCCGGAAAACAGTACAGTTGGCCCTCCACATTCTCTGTCTGGGGTTAGGTACACAGGACCCCCAGGAAAGTGGAAAACGGCAAATAAAACTTTTCTTTTCCTTACCTAGGAATCTCTAGCTCTTCTAGCACAACTCTGGTCAACATCCACTGGAAGATGACTATAGAATTTTGTTGGAGGACCTACAAATTCCTAGAGAAGTAATGATGAAAGCTTGTAATGAAAATTGGCCCGAGTCATGCTGGAGGACCTAGAGATTTCTAAAAGAACTTATTAATAAAATCCGTGAACAATTGAATCCACAAAAGTCAAAACTGCAAATGTGGAGGGCTGACTACATGGAAATCAGTTTTCTGGTTCATAGCAGCCTTGGTCTCTAACACTTTTACAATTTTGAAATTGCATTGAGTTATTAATATCTGTTGCATATGCAGAGGGGTGGGATAAAATAAATTTTATTATTATTATATGGCCTATTCTGCTTGCTTCTCCTCTCTCAGTGTCTGTGTATTGCAAAGTTGTTCCCTCCAAACCAGGCTTGTTTTGACAGTGTATCTCTATTTCTTTGCTTTCACAGGAAGCCAGTGAGGCATATCTCGTGGGTCTGTTTGAAGACACCAACCTGTGTGCCATTCATGCCAAGCGGGTCACCATCATGCCAAAAGACATACAGCTGGCCCGCCGCATCCGTGGCGAACGAGCTTAAGTTCTTCTCCCCGTCTCTTTAACACTTACAAACCCTCCCTGGGCAACCCCACCTTGCTTGTGCAGTGTACTTAGAATACACTCCAGATTTTATTTTTATTTTTTTTCTCTCCTAACTCCTGTTTGTAGTGGCTAGGATGTGTGAGGAAATGTTAGATTATCTATCTATTGTAGTACCTCTCCAGAATCAGGAGACTTGATTCCTGTTCATCATGTACAAGCAAAAACAAAACAAAAAAAATCCTTTGAAATCTGCAAGACTTCTGGATGTTGTTTTTTGTAAAACTTTTTTTTTCAGAATTGCAAAAAAGCAAACAAAAACATACCTAGCAGGGGACATTTTTGAAATATCTGGTTTTGTACACACAACCTACGTAGATACAGGCATTTCAACAAAGCTTTTGGTCTTCAGTTTGTAAAATATCTGCAAAGAACACTACACTTTTTTCCCTTCTGTTAGCTGAGTCTTTTATTTTACTTTGTATTTAGGCTAGAAGTGCTTTCTAGATCATTTATTTTCCTGTTTTCCATTTGTCTTGTGTCTGTGATTTTGACCTTTGTATCAATAGGGACTCACCTTGAAGCAGTAAGAAAAAAAATAAATGTTGAATGACAACATCTTAGTTTCTGTAATTTTTGCTAATGGTTTGTGGAAGAACTTTATGTTCTGTCACTGGAAGCAAGTTGTTTGAGACTCTATAAAAAACTGCTATCTTGTTCTAGAACTGGGTGTAGTTTCAGGCCTTCCCAGGAGTTCTTTCAGTAATGAATGCTGAGACATGTTGCCACTACCACGTAAGTTTTATTGGTGGTAAATAAAGGTTCAAAACACACTGCAGAAATAATCCAGTTTGTGATCGGTTTAACTGTCCTGGCTCAGTGCTAGGGAATTCTGAAATGGTAGCTTATTGTGGCACTAGAGCTCTCTGACAGAGAAGGCTAAATGCCTCACAAAACTACAGTTCCCAGAATTGCCTACATTGAGCCAGAACAGTTAGAGTGGTCTTAAACTGGATTATTTCTGCGGTGTATTTTGGACCTATGTCACAAACAGGAAAAAGCAGAGAAACATTGCAGCCCTTTCACTGGTGGATTTCAGCAACCTCATGACCAGTTGCAGAATTAGGTTCCAAATAAATTCTAGACTCTCCTTCAGTTGGCAACCAAGTTCAGTCCCCATTGCTGGAAATCCAAAGAGCCCTTAGGCTGGGGTGCATTTTCCCCAAGGTGAGGCTTATATAATACAGAGGTTTATACAGTGCAGAAGTAAACAAAATCTGCACAAGCATGACACATCTCCCCCACATTAGCAATGAGAACTGTGCAAGTAGACTAGCAATAGAGAAAGATTCCCTCCCCAAGCCTGATTCCAGCCTTCATATCTAGCCCAACTCTCCATAGGTCCAGTGATAGGGACTGGACTTGAATGCCATCGACGGATAGTCTGGATTGAATTTGTTTGGGAGCCTAATTCTACCACTGGCTGTGAGAAGGGTGCTGGACACCATCGGCAAGAGAGCTGGGCTGCTTCTCTGCTGTGTTTCATCTGCAGCATCATTCACCTGTAATAAAACGTATGCTATAGCAGTGATGTGTGAGTGTCTGGTACCAAAAGAACCCTTGGGGAGGCCTGGAGCTATACCCAGTTCCAGAGCAAGACAAATGCTAAAATGGCAAAATGGGTTAATGTGATTGTTTCAGTATTTAGTGTTTTTTGAATGTACAAAATGCTTCATATATCTTGTGAGATCTTGTAGCACCTTTGAGACTAACTGAAAGAAATAAGTTGGCAGCATGAGCTTTTGTAGACTAAAGTCTACTTCCTCTGATGCATTTGGTGCATCTGATGCATCTGAAGAAGTAGACTTAAGTATGAAAACTCATGCTGCCAAGTCCTTTCTTTAGTCTCAAGATCTCTACATACTGATTCTACAGACTACATGACTATATCTTTGAATATCTTATCTTGGGGCCTTTAGAGACTGCCAGAAATAATGCAGCTTGAGGCCACTTTAACTGTCCTGACTTAGTACTAAGGAACCATGGAAACTGTAATTTATTGTGGCACCAGAGCTCTATGACAGAGAAGCCTCAATAATAATAATAATAATAAATTTTATTTTTACCCCGCCTTTCCATGAATATGATCAAAGCGGCTTACAAAAAGTTAAAATTGTTACAATATAAAGATTAAAAACATCGGTGCAGGAATCAAATTACAAACAATCCGGGGTCAATAAGAAAACACATGGGGCAGAGAAAGAAAAAATACCATTACTTAAGGTGGAAATGCCAACTGAAATAAATACGTTTTTAAATTTCTCTTAAAAGAGACGAGTGATGCAGAGGAGCGAAGCTCTGCAGGAAGCTTATTCCAGAAGGAAGGGAATAATGTCCCAGAAAAAAAATATAATTCCCATGATTGCCTAGCACTGAGCCAGGACAGTTAAAGTGGCTTCAAGCTGCATTATTTCTGGCAGTCTGTAAAGGCCCATCCATGGTAATCCTTAGAACAGTCCTATAAATCAGGTCTTTACTTTATTGTGTTGTGAAGATAAGGCTGAAAAGAGTGACTTGACTAGAGTAATTTGAGTGGGTTTACAACAAAAGTGAGATTTCAACCAGGCATACTTGGCTGAAGGTTTAGCCTCTTGCTCTCTCTAATATTGCATCTGTTTTGTACAACTGGCTATGTAAGAATCACAACTTTAAATCAGCTTGCCATCTCTTGCTGGACCTATTATGCTTTTCATGACCAACAGCACAGAAATGTTAAGAGGTGAAGCTATTCTCAGCTTGAAGATCAGTAGTTTAAAAAACCCAAAACATGCTACTATTTATGTGTTTGGTTGTTACTAGTCCTCAGATGCCTTTAAAAACGTGGTACCCTTATCACTAATGCATATCCATCTCCTGATTTGAAAGTAAATTTGCACCTAAGCTGCTGAAAAAGTTGCAATGTCAATTGATCAATCAACAAATTCTGAGTATTATTTTCAAAGCGGAACATTTGGCTCTTGATGTTCTCTATACTCGGTGAAGCAATCTTTCCTGCATCTTTTGAGGTATGGTGGATTTAACTTGTTAAAGAGTTTTATAGTCAAATAATCAGGGAATGTTAATGATTACAAGCATTCCAAAAACTAATTTGAAGGATTTTACATGGCAATCATCTGCACCCATATTTAAAAATGTGCCATAATGTTTCCAGTGTACCTAGTGTTGAAGCAGTTGCTTGCATCTTGCTCAATGGAGATTTTTCTCATTTTATATATAATTTTAGAGTAAGATGACTCTTGCTCCTGAAAGATTGCTGTGGCAATTGCTTTCTGGATTTAGTAGGTAGAGAGTGCCATCGTGTGGTTGTTTTATAACTGATGGTGGAGAAAGCCTTGTGAGTTGTCACCAAGCAAAAAAAGCAACCTCACAGGTACATTCCATGAAATCAGCTCAGGTCTTTAGGTTAAAAGCAGCATTTTGAATCATGCCTTGAAAGACTGCCAAGTTATGCCTTCCATTGACTCACCCCTGAGAGTCTAGTGGGCTTTCTGTTCGCACCTTGAAAATTCAGTTTTAACAAAGAAGTTCCTAACCCTTCTATTTTATTATTTCAGAGTTAAGCATGAGGATACCTAAATAAGTGACGGCAAAACTTCTTTGGTCCAAGGAGCTATAGCATCCAATTATTCTGCCCTCCACCAAACATCTTCCCAATGCAAGAGTCCATCCATTCTTGCCAACGGAGGACACAGCATCTCCTCCGCCTGATGTTTTGTCACAGCCCTCTTCTAACCAACCCAGTTTTGACCACAGTCCTTTCCGTCCAGCTTCAAGGAAGACTCATGGTCCTGTATTTTCAGAAGAGAAAGCCTTGATGTCCTCAGATGCCCATCTGCCTGTCCAAATTAACCACCTTGAGATGCCTGGCCTCTAATCCTTATTAAGGTAGCTAAAAGTGGGCTGGTCTGGCTGGGCCTATGTCACAGCACCACTAAATTTAATACAAACTTGTCAGATGCAATCAAGTCAAGATAATCCACACTGTGTGCCTGGTATCAAGATGCTGGAGACGGAGAAGCGCAGGCACAATGAACAGCAAATTGGCAATTACATTTTTGCAGAAGAAGCGTCAAGGGCTCAAGGAACTCTGGCATGCATGTCTGAAGCAACAGAAATGTTTGCAAGCTTCCTCTCCTCTCTTGCTTTCTGTAAGAACAACAGAATTGGGTTGTTTTTCAATTATAACATTGGGTCAAAACAGCAATAATAGAAGTCTCCCATTATTCATAGGAGTCTCCTTCTTTGGAGGTCTTTAAACAGAGACTGGATGGCCATCTGTCGGGTATGCTTTGACTTTGAGTTCCTGCATGGCAGAATGGGGTTGGACTGGATGGCCCTTGGGGTCTCTTCCAACTCTATGATTCTATGATTCCAAGTCATATGTGAAGCAAATTACAAAGTTATAGAGAGGTAGGTCACTCAAAAATCACAGAGTAGATTAAATCCCATTTAACCTTGGTCCAAAACACACTGCAGAAATAATCTAGTTTGACACTACTTTAACTGCCCTGGCTCAGTGCTAGGGAATCATGGAAATTGTAG